GAATAATGAGAGTTAACCAACAGAAGTCCCTGCAGTATTTAAATGTAGGTCTGAGCTCTTTAAACGGTACATTGCAAACAAACAAACAAACAAACAAACAAACCAGCAAACAAACAAAACGCGCGTGTCTTACCTGAACTCGGCCGCGCGCACACACCTGTAGTTTCAGTCAGCTGTCGTCGTGTTTTTCTTCATATGAAACTTCCAGCAACACTTATTAAAACTTGTATCAACACTTTGAAGAGATATCAAGAGATTACATCGAAAAACGTGGAGCAGAAACGTCACGTCGGACCGCGGGGAAAATTCAGCAAATGAAGATGTCAACAGGAAGTGATGGCTAATTTATATCAGCTGATCACCTTTTTTTTCTTTTTTGAAACTTTATTTACACAATATATCTTACAACAGGTGATCGATGTTAGTGCACAGACCATAACAAGCAAACAATTAGACATAAAAACATGTAAGGATGATACTTCATGAAGGAGTTGGTTTTAAGAGTTTTATAGTTTCTTAAGTATTTTAGTATCTGAGATTTTAAGAAGGTTATAATTTGCTAATTTGATGCTATTTGAGTATTAGGGTAAGTCATGAGGGAAAACCATTAATATGTATTTTAAGTTATAATCTAAAAGGCAAGAATACAGCCGAATGTCTTATTTGAAATGCCAATGTTTACGTTTATTGGCCTGATAACTGAAATGTCAGCTTTATTCTTGGAGTTTTGACTTCGTCTGACGATAAACAAACGATTTAGAGATACACGTGAAAACTAAACACTAATTAGAAAGAGGTGGAGGAAATTGATTACATAAGAAGGTATTTCTGAGAGTTTGTGAAGTATTTTAGTGTGAATTAGGTTAGGTTTGTTATTTATTTGTATGGTTTATGATGAATGAGATCCAGGCATAGGGGGAAACATATATAGAGAGATAAAGTTGAATACAGTGGAAACGCTAATGTACGTTTTTTAGTTTATTTGCTTCAAGACACACATAAGACTTTATAGTAATTGTATTTAGCTGAGAAATCAACAGCCAGTTTTCCTTTTCTCTGATGTTTCCTAGCAATCATCAGCTCTCTGAATTCCTCCGTGTTAACACGATCCATGCTTCAGATCGGAGTGAAAGCACACCCTTCGTTCAGTGGAGCAGAAACATTTAAAGAGTCAGGATCGGCTCTGTAAACACCTCAGACTCTCTCTGTTTGCTTTGGACTTTACTGCATCTATCAATGTTTACTACGACAACTATTTGAGCTACTTCAGTGTGGCGAAGCTTCAAATAACAGCTCTGAAAAACAGTGGAGGCTGATTTCATTCAACTGTGTGAGAAACGTCCACTTCACAGGAACGCAGAAACTAAATCCAGATTGTATGTTGATTGTGTTTTAAATTACTGCACAAACTTCTCCCTGCAGCTCACAGAAAACACAAAGCCTCTCCATAAAGACACTCACTACTTACTGAGAGTTATTTCCCCTTAAAATGGACAAAAACCGTCAGGGAAAGTTGGAGTTTTCATGCAAAAGGAAGCGAGAAACACACTGACTTTATACACCTTCAAAGAGGTGGGAAGTATTGGAGCACAAATACTTTGTTACTGTACTTAAGTACATTTCTCTGGTATCAGTACTTTACTCCACTACTTATTTTTCTGACAACTTTTTACTTTGACTTCTTACATGTTGAACACAAATACCTGTACTTTCTACTTCTTACATGTTTGAACACAAATACCTGTACTTTCTACTTCTTACATGTTGAACACAAATACCTGTACCTTTCTACTTCTTACATGTTGAACACAATACCTGTACTTTCTACTTCTTACATGTTGAACCTGAAATACCTGTACTTCTACTTCTTACATGTTGAACCCAAATACCTGTACTTTCTACTTCTTACATGTTGAACTCAAATACCTGTACTTTCTACTTCTTACATGTTGAACCCAAATACCTGTACTTTCTACTTCTTACATGTTGAACCCAAATACCTGTACTTTCTACTTCGTACATGTTGAAACCCAAATACCTGTACTTTCTACTTCTTACATGTTGAACTCAAATACCTGTACTTTCTACTTCTTACATGTTGAACACAAATACCTGTACTTTCTACTTCTCACATGTTGAACACAAATACCTGTACTTTCTACTTCTTACATGTTGAACACAAATACCTGTACTTTCTACTTCTTACATGTTGAACACAAATACCTGTACTTTCTACTTCTTACATGTTGAACACAAATACCTGTACTTTCTACTTCTTACATGTTGAACACCAAATACCTGTACTTTCTACTTCTCACATGTTGAACACAAATACCTGTACTTCTACTCTACTTCTTACATGTTGAACACAAATACCTGTACTTTCTACTTCTTACATGTTGAACACAATACCTGTACTTTCTACTTCTTACATGTTGAACACAAATACCTGTACTTTCTACTTCTTACATGTTGAACCCAAATACCTGTACTTTCTACTTCTTACATGTTGAACCCAAATACCTGTACTTTCTACTTCTTACATGTTGAACCCAAATACCTGTACTTTCTACTTCTTACATGTTGAACACTAATACCTGTACTTTCTACTTCTTACATGTTGAACACAAATACCTGTACTTTCTACTTCTTACATGTTGAACACAAATACCTGTACTTTCTACTTCTTACATGTTGAACACAAATACCTGTACTTTCTACTTCTTACATGTTGAACACAAATACCTGTACTTTCTACTTCTTACATGTTGAACACAAACCTGTACTTTCTACTTCTTACATGTTGAACCCAAATACCTGTACTTTCTACTTCTTACATGTTGAACCCAAATACCTGTACTTTCTACTTCTTACATGTTGAACCCAAATACCGGTACTTTCTACTTCTTACATGTTGAACCCAAACACCTGTACTTTCTACTTCTTACATGTTGACCCAATACCTGTACTTTCTACTTCTTACATGTTGAACCCAAATACCTGAACTTTCTACTTCTTACATGTTGAACCACAAACACCTGTACTTCTACTTCTTACATGTTGAACCCAAATCCTGTACTTTCTACTTCTTACCATGTTGAACCCAAATACCTGTACTTTCTACTTCTTACATTTGAACCCAAATACCTGTACTTTCTACTTTCTTAACATGTTGAACACAAAATACCTTTACTTTCTACTTCTCACATTTCCCAACAGGCTGGTTCCTTTATTTGAATGTGTGTTTGGTTGGCGTGATCATTATTATTTAGAGTCATTGCGTGCCTATTGATTTGAACACGATCCGTGTATCCATCATTTCCTGGTCTTCTCTAAAGAAGAGGGACCAATGAAAACGTTGTCATGTTGCCGTTGTTCAGCATGGAACATTCATTAGCTAACAATGACATTATTGTTCTATTAATATAAAGGGAGGTCAGGTACTCTTTAAAACAGCTGCTAGTTATGGGTACTTTTTACTGAAGTACATTTCAAAGCCCTCTTTACTTCTACTTGAGTAAAGAAGTTTAGTCAGTACTTCTACTTTCACCAGAGTATTTTTAAATACGAGTATCTGTACTTCTACTCGAGTAAAGGATGTGTGTACTCTTGCCCTCTCTGTCCATATTGACACTCACTATTTACTGAGTTATTTCCCCTTAAAATGGACAAAAGCAGGGAAAGTTGGGCTTTTCATTCAAAAGGAAGCGAGAAACACACTGACTTTATACGCCTTCAAAGCATACCTCTTTCCACCATAGATATATTTGTGCTGTACGTCTGTAAACTAAGACGAGGGTCAGTTTCTGACCTCTGATGGTGGTCCGGATCTCCGTCTGTGTGCTTTGTTCCTGGGTGGTCTTACTCTGGTGCATAAAGCTTAAAAGAGATATTAAGAAGACTCAAAAGATGGTATTAATGTGATGAAACCTGATCTTTAGCATGGCATATGCCACTGATAAAGATGAAATGAGCAGCATGTGAATTCATCTCCATCCTCAGACTTATAATTGAGAAGTCATGTGGATATAATGTGATATATGAACGTACGCCAGCATCAGTAATGGCTCCAGCATTTCATCTCTATCAGTTGTGACATGCTGAGACAGGGGAGGGTACACAGTGTCTCTGCGTGACATCTGTGGCGGTAATTTAAGTTTTCATCTTCAACCGGTTCCAGGACTCCTCGTGCCTTCACATGAAATCAAAGACCGGAGGAACATATTCACGGTATAAACGGAGCGATGTGTGGAACACGAACAGATGGCAATCACAACCCAAGACAAGAAGGGACAATGGAAAATGAAATGTGAACGTTTTAATATGTAATGAAATACGTTTTCCTCTTCTGACGGGAAATAGTGTTTATAGGGATGTTGAGATTATATCAAGGCACACATCCTTTTCCAATGAGCACTCAATGGGATAAAGTGGGCCTAAAGGTAGCTACAGATACACCAAATGTACTTTCATATCAAAATGTGTTCCTCCTCAACATGATTAGTCCAATTAATAACAAAGTGGTTAGTATTAGCATAAATAAACCCATTGAAAGACACTTTTACACCAATTAAGGTCTTATTTTAAGATGAATTGAATACATTTTGAAGACTTTTTTGCATAAATCCTCTTCTTCATGTGTGTATACAAAATGATATGTGAATGTTTTAATATGCAATGTAATACGTTTTCCTCTTCTGACGGGAAATAGTGTTTATAGGGATGTTGGGATTATATCAAGGCACACATCCTTTTCCAATGAGCACTCAATGGGCTGAAAACATGGGATAAAATGGGCCTAAAGTGAGCTCCAAAATGTACTTTAATATCCAAATGTGTTCCTCCCTAGCAGGTGAACAACATTATTGATCCACTCAATAACAAATTGGTTAGTATAAGCATAAAAAACACCATTAAAGTCAATTTTAACACCAATTAAGGCCTTATTTTAAGATGAATTTAATACATTTTTAAGACTTTTTTTGCCTTCATTTCGTCGTTCACACACAAATCCTCTTAGTTCCCTATGTTGATTGATCTTTCTCTCATTACACTTTGATAAACTCACTTACTTTGAGCCTCTGTTCCCATTTAGGTAGTTATATTTCATACTTTGTGTCTTCCCGTCTTATTTTATTGACCTGTCCATCACATGTCATTGTACTAAAGTAAAAAAAAGTACAGAAATAATCAAGACATGTGCACCAAATCATTTTAATATAACAGCATTCAGTCTGTTGTGTGTAACAGTGCAATAGCATGCTAAAGAGCAAACAAAAATAAATGTTATATCCGTACTCTGGAGTTATATTTGGACAGTTTTTATCGTACAGTACAATGTTTATGAAATATCTGTGAAAAAAGTATACAATCTTTTTTCATTATGAAGTATAAAAATAATTGTCTCTGTACACATATTGAAAAGGTCCAGCGGTTTGCATAATAGTTTGGATCAGAGCCTCTGGAGTTCGTCACTATAGACCTGTGGAGAGAGAGGGAAATATGAGACGTTTAATAAGGAGGGAAACACTCGGGAACAGACGTGAAATATTCAGAGACAAACATGATCTACTCTTTACTCTCTTTCAACCCCAACGTTTTATGTCAGAAATTTAAAGTAAAGGTTGTGAGAAAATGAAAGAAATGTAAATATTCACACCAATGACATCGTTTTCTCTTGACTCTGAAATGTATGACCAACGTATGAAGCAAGGAAATCTCTTCAGAATCAACTCAAAATGTGTAGAAATTGTCCCAATGAGTCAAAACGGGCACTTTTGTCCACTTTGAATTCTGAAATGGGTTAAGCATCCTCAAAAACCCCAACCCCTTGAATATATCTCCAAATTGGTGAAGCAGCTGGTGAAATATTGTCCATATAGGCTAATAACTAATGCAAGTTAGCATCCAGCTGTTTTAAATGCTGAGGACCCATATTTTACACTTCTAATATCAAACTCAACATTTAGGAACACATAGGGCTCGATAGCAGTGGTGGAATGTATCCAAGTACTGTACTTAAGTTCAATTTGGAGGGACTTATACTTTAACTTGGAAGTCAGTATTGTTGTTTTTACTCCACTATATTTATCGGACAGCTTTTTACAGATTCAGATTATAAGCTTATATAAAACATAAATCAACTAATAAATACACTTTGCCAACATAATGAACACAGCCAGCAGCAGTTTATAAAGTACTTTAAAGTACTTTTAATGTGTTTTTAGGATCATTTATTAACATGCACTGTCCCTGTTGTTAAGACTTTGAGTTGGAAAACGAGGCTTATATGATTCTAAAATGGGCCATGAGTACTTTTTGTACCCCAGCCCATTTACTAATACTTTTGTACATTGACTTAAGTAAGAATGAATTTAAATGTAGTATCTTTACAATGAAGCATAGCTACTTTACTTAAATACTGGATAGCGAGGCTGGGTGCAGAAATGGATTTAGCAATCCGCAATACACCCCCCACCCCCCCCCCCCCCCCCCCCCCCCCCCACACACCTCCAATAACTCATCCAAGCATTTATTGAAATCTTGTCCATACCCTAAAGTGCTTATTTATGCTAATAAACACCTGTAGTTTCTAAATGCTTGGGACCCATACTGTACATTACTAATGTCCAACGCTGGTGCACTCATCACCGTTATAAATCCAGCAGCAGCTAACATATATATGATTATAAAATGAGCCGTTATGAGTACTTTTGTACCTCAGACAATTTGCTAATACTTATGTACTTTTGCTTAAGTAAGAATGCATTTAAATGCAGTATCTTTACAATCAAGCATAGCTACTTTCACTTCTTCCAGCTCTTCTCTACATGCCTGCTAACAGATGATCTGTAAACGACTGGGTGCAGACTCAGTGAGTTTTGGTTGAATCTGTGAGGTTTTCTTTGAGCTCTGAGTGTGTTTGTGCCTCAGAAGAGCCTCCAGACGGGCTCTCTGACGCTGCTCCGCCACAAGAGAACAACCGCAGACAGACCTCACTTCTCACCAGACAGACTTTCTCCCAACGCCACATGTTGGGAGGAAGTGAGTGACTTCATGGAGCCACGTGGTGTCATTGAACGCACCATAAATGAAGGTGGAGGCAGCCGGTTATTACAGCGTGTCGTGGCTCTACAGATGAGCTCACTGGGACTACCAAGCGTGAGTTGATCCGCTATAAACGTATAAACTATAAGCAATAATACTGATCTAATAACATTGTTCTTGAATCAACTTTTTTAATGAAAAATCTTTATTGTCATTTCCCTTTTCCAGGAATCTCAATAGAAAACAATTAGATATTAATTATGAATGCCATAATGCTTATTTCTCCAATGAGATAGCTGTCAATCAGAAGTTAAATCAATTTCTCCCTTATTCTAAGAATGTACTTAACCCACTAAAAGGATTTCTATTCAAATAATCCGGAAGACGTAAAAGCAATAACTCATCTCTCTCGTTCAGATTAATGTGGTCAGGTTTTCTTTCAGGTAGACGTGCAAATCGTGTAGAAACTCTCACTCTCAGACTCTGGAGGATTGATGATTTGCTCACCTGAAAACAATGATCTCTTTTTGGCATCTCGAGCACCACCTGTGGAGAAACACAGACAGGAAGTGGGTCAATCATCTTAAAGGGTTCATTAAGTCTTTTCTCAAACTATTTTAAGTGTCTAAATGACTAATGGGGACAATTAGAAGTATTTGCTTAATTATCTGCAGACCCTAAACTTGTTGCTATGTACTGTAGCACGTGTGTTTTTGTTATTATTTAGAGCCTATATGTTGCATGATTTAATTATCCTGATATGTTTATAATTAGTTTTAGGATGATTTTAAAACTTGTCGAGGGACTACACATTAAAAAAGTCTCTTTGCTAACTTTGGCATATATACAGCTATTAATGGGCAATTCAACACGCACGCACACACACACACACACACACACACACACACACACACACACACACACACACACACACACACACACACACACACACACACACACACACACACACACACACACACACACACCACACACACACACACACACACACACACACACACACACACACACACACACACACACACACACACACACACATCACACACACACACACACACACACACACACACACACACACACACACACACACACACACACACAACACACACACACACACACACACACACACACACACACACACACAACACACACACACACCACACACAACACACACACACACACACACACACACACACACACACACACACCACAAAGTGCTTTGTCACGACTCAGGACTTTTAGTGCCGTTAGTGAATATTTATTTAACAGCTGGAGGAGTTGTTCGTCAGAGGGAAATATTTCCATGTGAGAAACAATCACTGTTTGATCTGCGTTTGAATATAATTCTTTCCTGACGTCACTGAGAGCTGTATTCCCACATGCTCTTTATTTGAAAAGCTGACGGAGATGTTTAGGTGAGTTCATTTGGGAACATTTCTGAATTTACAGCATATACTATTTTGGGAATCGTTCATTATTTACTTCACAGATGCCCTTTTTGCTCCAGCAGTGGATTTATATAAAGTGAAGTTGGTTAAGTCGGTACAGAGCAACATATCTTGACAACAACCAGTCAGATTACAATGATATTTCAGAGATAGGGTCTCCATCTCCTCCCTGACAGACACTGTACATATCATCAGTGTCACCTTCCATTGTCCAAAGAGGATTAAATATGAGGTTTTTTGGAGACTTTTTGACCTTTTTCTCTGAGTATTCATGATCCCAGAGGATGAATCTTAAGCATTGTTGACTGTCTTTGCACTTTCACCATATCTAGGCAGTTTGCAGACCATATATCTGATCATAATAATAATCCATATTTGAGTGCATCCAGCCTTGAGCAAGTTGTAATGCAGATATATGTAATCTAAGAACAGCTACACTTTAATATAAAACTTATATTTTACATTTTTCTTAGTTGATTTCAGTGATTTTGAACTACTGTACAAGCCTCTGAAAATCGCACCATACTGCCACATATATTCATGAGATGTATGCAGCATGGAAGGAGGTCTGATTGTATGCACGTTTAGAGTATTATCTTGCCCGGCGTCCCAGCCAGAAAACAGCTTTTTACTGGATCTAGATCGAGATGTGTCTCTTAAAGGAAGCCAGGATAATATTTCTTACGTGACAATTCCCCCTAGAGGATTGAACCCCCTCTGTGAAATATGGAAAAGGCCACATGACAGCTCCATATTAAACGTTTACAAGGAATAAGTGCACATTAATCTGCACTTTTTAATAGATCTGTTGCCACTTGAATGCTTGCAGTAATGAAATAAGCCTTTAAAAGAAACTGTGGGGAGGTTAGAAACATTAGAGGCCGTTTATCAAATTTGTGAGGATTTTGGAAACGTCCAGCAACGAACGGGGAGATGATAGACATTTAAATGCAGAGTTTAAATATATATATAAAGGCGTCTTACTGTTGTCCTGCTCAGGAGGATCCAGGACGTCGCTCTCCGTGTCGCTGGGAATATTCCACGGCTGCCGGATGGCCTGGAGCTGCTGGTAAAACTCATCCTGAGGAGCAGAGACACGGCAGAGACACGGCAGAGACACAGCAGAGACACGGCAGAGACACAGCAGAGACACGGCAGAGACACAGCAGAGACACGGCAGAGACACGGCAGAGACACAGCAGAGACACGGCAGAGACACAGCAGAGACACGGCAGAGACACAGCAGAGACACGGCAGAGACACAGCAGAGACACGGCAGAGACACAGCAGAGACACGGCAGAGACACGGCAGAGACACGGGAAACATGGTCAGGAAAATGAGGAAATCAGTCCCTCTACATGTAATGAACAAAACAGAGGATTTACATATTCTTTAGGAACAATTTAGTGACTTTTAAGACCGAAATATCAGAAAAAAAGCAATAACTTATACCATTACTGCGGGTTTCTTAAAGATTAATAAGTCAAATAGACGTTTTATTGAATTTCAATGCGTGAAATATTCAGTGCAGTCAGTCGCTCTCCATATACTGAACATGTCTTATTGTCAATGTAAAGAAACACAGGATCATTTATGTAATAGTACGTGACTTTTAAGACCGAAATATAAAAAACAAGCACGAAAAAATATCATAAATGTGAGTCTGCTGCCAAATTAATCTGTAAACAAGAATTTAGTATACTTTGTTTTTGAGTTTGGGGGTCCGAGAGCTAAAATAAATAGTAACCCCAGCGTGTGTGCGCGTGTGTGTGTGTGTGTGTAATAATACATCTTCCATGTAATATCTTAAATATAATGATAAAGAACAGCTAGTCAGCTAGTTGTCTGTGTTTCGCTTAAAGGTAGGTCAATTAATAGGACCTGACTCTGTCTGTGTGTCTGTGTGTCTGTGTGTCTGTGTGTCTGTCTGTCTGTCTGTCTGTGTGTCTGTCTGTGTCTGTCTGTCTGTCTGTCTGTCTGTCTGTCTGTGTGTCTGTCTGTCTGTCTGTCTGTCTGTCTGTCTGTCTGTCTGTCTGTCTGTCTGTCTGTCTGTCTGTCTGTCTGTCTGTCTGTCGTCTGTCTGTCTGTCTGTCTGTCTGTCTGTCTGTGTGTCTGTCTGTGTGCTGTGTCTGTCTGTCTGTCTGTGTGTCTGTCTGTCTGTGTGTCTGTCTGTCTGTGTGTCTGTCTGTCTGTGTGTCTGTCTGTCTGTCTGTCTGTCTGTCTGTCTGTCTGCTGTCTGTCTGTCTGTCTGTGTGTCTGTCTGTCTGTCTGTCTGTCTGTGTTCTGTCTGGTCTGTCTGTCTGTCTGTCTGTTCTGTCGTTCTGTCTGTCTGTCGTCTGTCTGTCTGTCTGTCCGGTCCTGTCTGTCTGTGTGTGTGTCTGTGTGGTCTGTCTGTGTGTCTGTCTGTCTGTCTGGTGTGTCTGTCGGTCCTGTCTGTCTGTCTGTGTGGCTGTGTGTCTGTGTGGTCTGTCTGTGTGTCTGTCCTGTGGTGTCATGTCCTGTCTGGCTGGTCTGTCTGTCTGTCTGTGTGTCGGGCTGTCTGGTCTGTCTGTCTGTGTGGTGTCCTGTGGTGTCTGGTCTTGTGTCCTGTGTCTGTGTGTCTGTCTGTCTGTCTGTCTGTCTGTCTGTCTGTCTGTGTTCCCTCCTAACCTCGGACAGCTCATTTTTCCACCATAACATGATTCCTACTGTACGGACCTCCATGACTCTCCGTGTGTGTGTGTGTGTGTGTGTGTGTGTGTGTGTGTGTGTGTGTGTGTGTGTGTGTGTGTGTGTGTGTTGTGTGTGTGTGTGTGTGTGTGTGTGTTTCTCTTCTCACCTCTGACAGGTACGCCCTCAGGCTGGCCCCCAGGCTGTCGGTGGTGCTGAGTCCCGGGGGGGTCAGCAGGGGTCGGGGTCTGGCCGGCAGGCAGGTGGGGGTCACAGGGCGGCTCCTTGACCTCCTGAAGGTCACCTCTTTATGGGCTCCTCGGTCAAAACTGGAGCGCCTCAGCAGACTATTGGGAGTTATGGGAGTTATGGGAGTCCTGGGGGTTCTGGGAGTTGTACTCCTGCTGCTAAGGTTGCTAGGAGATGGAGTCCGGCCCATGGTGAGGGGCAGGGTGTCGGGGAGGTGGCGGTGGGGGGGGTGTATCGGGGGGAGGAAGGGGGTGTGGTGCAGAGAGAGAGGATTGTTGGAGATACGACTCGTCATTTTACCCACTTCTGCCAGTTTAGCCAGGTCCTTCTCCACCTCTGAGGGGGGAGGGATGAGATAAGTTAGTATAACATTTCAAACTCAAGATGATTGTGGTGCTTAGTAGGTTTTCATAGCAGCAGCCATATTGTTGATTCCTGGGGCTTTTATTTTGAAAAACACGCCTCACTTGGAGCTCCCTGTTAGTATCCCTGAGCTTCCTGTAAAGATACAGTTACTTTCTGAGGCTTTTATTTTGAAAAGCTAAGCCTTAATGGATGTTAAAGCTATCTATGTCTGTAATTAACAACAATGTATTTTCAATATATAAATAGTTGTTGGTCACACATGTTAAAACTGTTTTAATATGTTCACTGAGGCTCCAGAATAAAGTATTTTTTTTTATGACCCCACTTTTTGTAACAAAAGTTTGTTTCTGGGGCTTTTATTTTGTAAAACTGAGCTTCTTGTAACAAAAAAGCTTTTGTTTTTTCAACTCTGAATTTGCAAGTTTGCATTTTCAATATATATCGTTTTTGGGCACGTTCTAACTGTTTTAATATGTTTACAGAGGCTCCAGAATAAAGTTGAATGTTTTATGACCTCTTGTCCTGCAGCTGATGATTCACAAACTTTTTTACGGAGCATTAAAGTGGGCGAGACTCCACTCTTTAATCCTTCTTCTGGGCACTGATGACAATATTTATAGTCGCTGTAAACTGCGGTGGATGCAGCTTCCTCTCAGAAAACGCTCCAAGTTCATCCGCAGAGGGAAAAGAAACAGAATAGTTTGTTTTCCTCGTCTGAGAAACACGAGAGACGTCCAGCTCCCGCGTCAACATCTAACTCATTCTTTCCGTGATGAGTTAAATCCTGGCACTGAGGATTCAACAAAGCATGCTTTAAAGTTATCATTTGAGAGTGGAGTGAGTCACCAGGAGTGTGTGTGAGTTTAAATAAATAACAGAAAGAAGCATGACAAGGATTTCACAACCCCTGACTTTCTTCTTCTTCTTGTTGTTGTTGTTGAGCAAATTGGGCTTTTTCTCTTTCTGCAAACAACATTTTTACTCTGAAATGTGAAGCAGATATCTCGTTATGCAAAGTGTCTGCGAGACGTCACTGATGTGTGTGTGTGTGTGTGTGTGTGTGTGTGTGTGTGTGTGTGTGTGTGTGTGTGTGTGTGTGTGTGTGTGTGTGTGTGTGTGTGTGTGTGTGTGTGTGTGTGTGAGTGAAGCTGTGTGTGAAGATGTGTGTGTGAAGATGTGTGTGTGTGATTGAAGTTGTGTGTGAGTGTGTGTGTGTGTGAAGTTGTGTGTGTGTGTGCCTGTGTGTGTGTGTGTGTAGCTGTGTGTGAAGATGTGTGTGTGTTAAGATGTGTGTGTGTGTGTGTGATTGAAGCTGTGTGTGAGTGTGTGTGAAGCTATGTGTGTGTGTGTGTGTGTGTGTGTGTGTGTGTGTGTGTGTGTGTGTGTGTGTGTCTGTGTGTGTAGCTGTGTGTGAAGATGTGTGTGTGTTAAGATGTGTGTGTGTGTGTGTGTGATTGAAGCTGTGTGTGAAGCTATGTGTGTGTGTGTGTGTGTGTGTTCTGTGTGTGTGTGTGTGTGTGTGTGTGTGTGTGTGTGTGTGTGTGTGTGTGTGTGTGTGTGTGTGTGTATGAAACCCCGCTGCATTCTGCACGCTACGTCTCTGAGTTGTAGAAGAAAGCTAAAGGTCACCATTTGACCTCCATTGGTTTGAACGTTGTTGGAAGATACGTAAAGAAACGTTGTGGTGCGTTCAAGGCGTGTCGGGACATTACAGTTTGTAATAATCCAAAGAGTTATGGTGGCTAAACTTAACGTTGGGGATAGTTCAATGTTTGAACTATCCCCAACAACAACAACAACAACAACAACAACAAGTCCAGAGCCTCCTGTGACCTTTGTCACAATAAACACACATTGGGATGCAGAAAAATGTAATTCTAAGGGTGTGTTTTCAGCTTCTAGGATGCAGGGATACATGTATTTATATATATTAATATATACACAAGAGAGAACTCAGTGTAAAAAAGAAGTTCAACTTGATCAAATGATCCTCTGTAGTCTTAAAGGTCACATGTGAAGGTATAAAAGGCATGGAAAAGTGGATTTTGCATAATAGGGGACCTTAAAACAAGAACTTTGTCCACAAGATGCCATTAGTGGGGTATATTATTCAGTTTTGCAAAGTGTAAAGTATAGTAAAGTGATGTAAATGGGGGCTGCGTTTAACAATAGCAACACTATATGAAACATCTGTTTACACATGACTCCAGACACTTTGAGACTGTTTATATGGACGTGTTTTAGACAGTAAGGTTTAAGAGAAATGTGTGTGTGATTCAGAATAAAACTGGATAAATAAGACCTGGATTACTCTCTAACACACTGCACTACGTGTGAGAGAGTTTCTGTGTAAAACCAACCCCACGTTACTTCAATTCATCCTGACCTTTCTGCCTTTTCTGCACTGCTTCACGGCGTGAGTAATTGATAAACAAACGGTCGTTTAGCCGCTGAAGTCTTCCTCGAACCGCCCACACCACGGAGATGTTATCATCATAACCCAAACAGGAAGTGCTCATTAGTGACCTGTTCCCATGAAGCTGATATTCCTATTTACTGGAATAATGATAAACACCACATGTTCACATGATTTCAAACCAGGCGCTTCCCGACATTAATGAGACATTACCAGCAGCTTTATTTTGAAATCCTTACAGAGAGTTGATCAAAAGCCGGAGCATCAAATCCTTCTGATGGCTCAGTGTTTGATGTTGAGAGAAACTCAATAACTTTATTAGCTCTCATCTGCAGCACAAACACTGCCAGCCAGGACTCATTCAAACGTGGCGTTAGATAAATCAATTAAGGAAAGTGTGAAGGACAGATTGAACCACAATACTTTCACAAACCCTCGTTAGCTTGATCGGGATTTCTGGCTCTAAATCAGGAGGCTTTTCTGTCTTCTAACTATATCTTAAGTGCACTAAGGTCTTATTTTAAATGGGTTAGTTAGTGTGGAAGTTTGAGGTACTACTCCATGTTTCACACATCTTTCAAACTAATCAGGATCCCTTTAAACGCTTTATGCTTCTCGAATGAAGTCATTATCTTAGCTCTCTGTAGGTCTAATGCATTAATTGGTTAATTGGTTTGTATGATTGTGAGACTTTAGTGTTTAAAGTGTTGGTTTGTCACCAAGTCACAGAAATGATCAAAGTGTAAAAAACGGAAAGCATGTTAGTCCTTGTCTAATTGTACTTTTATTTTTGGCCCCAAATCAAGAAACTTTTCTTTTTTTTGACTTTATTTTAGGAGCAAAAGTCTTTATATAAGTCTGATGCACTGAGCACTTTGTATTAAATGGGTTAAATTGATCCAACCCAAAACTAAAGCATCATACCAGTAATGATTCACCGAAGTCACACAGATCATCAAAAGGGTCAAAAAGGGAAAATCTAGTCAAATGATTAGCCTTGTTTACTTGTGTATTCCGGCTTCTGTATATTCATACAAATCATTCATCAGGAAACCTTTCAGACTCTTAACTATATGAAATGTGAGCAACGAGCCTAAAAGTCTTAGTTTAATGGAAAAAGGTGTTAGAATATGTCCATAGTCCCAAATCTAATGCATCATATCAGTAATAATGTACCCTAAGTGTTGGTATGTGTGCATATCCCTCAATAGCACATCTAGTGAGGAATCATTGATCTCTATTTTAGGGGGAAAGAACCCAGACAAGTGCACAGGAGCTCCAGAGACGGGGGAGGGGGACTTCTCAGCTATAATTGGGGTAAAGATGAAAAGTGAGGCTCTGGCTGGGAGCGTGGAAAGTGTTAGCAGCCAATAAAGGTTGAAAGAGTTGAATTAGCGTCTAACAGCTTCAGTGAAGTGCATGCTGGGAGCCCAAAGCCTCAATATTCAGTGAGTCGGCGTCAAAGAAGAAATTAATGCCATCTGAGGAGTGTGTGTGTGTGTGTGTGTGTGTGTGTGTGTGTGTGTGTGTGTGTGTGTGTGTGTGTAAAGAGCAGCTGTTGATCAATGTGCTCTGAATCAGTCTGGTATGTGGAGATGCGTTCGAGGACATAAAACAACAAGTGGGCGACACATGACGTTCCTCTGCGGGCTTTCATCTGGATCATAAGTGGATACACACTCTATGATCACACACACACACACACACACACACACACACACACACACACACACACACACACACACACACACACACACACACACACACACACACACACACACACACACACACACACACACACCACACACACACACACACACACACACACACACACACACACACACACACACACACACACACACACACACACACACACACACACACACACACACACACACACACACACACACACACACACACACACACACACACACACACACACACACACACACACACACACACACACACCACACACACACCACACACACACACACACACACACACACACACACACACACACACACACACACACACACACACACACACACACACACACACACACACATTTCACAAAGAGTGATCCTGACTGCAGGAGTTATGATAAAAAAAAATGCCACGAATAACATTTTGTAATGTACCAATTCAGTCTCAAAATGACATGAGTGTTGAACTATTGAGTGCAAGTGTGTCTTATAAATGTAGTGCAGTATAAAGAGCATTCTTGGTAGCACAGTTACAGTCCCCACACACGTCACACACACACGTCACGTCACACAAACACAAACACACACACTGCATCATCCATAAGGAATGGGAACTGTGGGAATTGTTTACGGCCGCATACTTGCTGTTACTTTTTCTGTATATTTTGCACATTTCAGCATGATGCAACCTCTACAGACTCTCACAGCACACACACACACACACACTCACCTGCCAGCTGCTTGCCCATGTTCTCCAGCTCCTTGGAGAAGAGGGGGTCTCCCAGCATCGGCCCCCCAGCGCTGCCCCGTCTCACTGGTTTCAGATCAGCCTCCCAGACTCCCTGACGCTGGAGAAAAGTCACATTAGAAGAAAAGAAAGACCCTTCAATTAACTCTTTACATCATGTTCAGCTACGGCTGGAAATATCCCAGCCATATCTGGAGAAGGAAAAAACAGAGAGAGGGCAATTATTATTTTATGAGCTTTAGAAAAACAGGATGAAAGACGCAACGCTGCGTTTACTGACTGTGGGACGCCAGACCGTCAGTAGTGGTGCACGACATACTTCTATAACTACCAGTAGATCTATGGGAACACTGGTGTGGTGGCGAAGCAGCAGTAAAGCCATCAGTTTGAGATTAAGACGTACAAATACAATTTTCACTCACACACACACATAACACACACATTCACTAATCAGCTGTTTCAATGCAAGTGTGTATAAATTACTGTCTATAAATGATATGATAACGTCATCCCAGTGTCCTCTGCTGGTTACCCATTACAGAGGTGTGTGTGTGTGTGTGTGTGTGTGAGTGTGAGTGTGAGTGTGAGTGTGAGTGTGAGTGTGTGTGTAGCTTCTGTCTTCAGTGAAATCAGAACCTGTGTTGTTTTGGAATAAACAACAACTTCATGATTCAGCGTTCTCCTCTCACACACGTGCAGATCAGATCCTCATGTCCACAAAGATCTGCATGAGGATGCCTTTTCTCAAACATCCACTCTTCACACACCTGATCCTCTTCCCCCTCAATGCTTTAAAGCGTGGAAGTACTTTTCTATACTCAGTGTATTACCTAGAGTAGATGCAGCAGGAAGTTCAGACCTGTGCAAAATCCATATCACGCTAAGTGTACCTCTTTCGCTGCTTGATTGGTAAGCAAGAGTGTGTTATTGTGCAACTTTGGAGTTAGAATAGGACAACACACACTTCCTAACCATCCAATCAGGGGACAGACCAGTGACTCCTGTGTCCTGAGAGCTGTAATTACTGTGTTTGTTAATGAAGGCTGGTGTGCTCACTCCCCCGTGAGAAAGGGATGTCTGACAGCAAGGTGAGGAGGTGAACGTACACTACAGATAGCACAAACTTCACACAATCCAATATGTCTGTGTGAGAGTCTGGCTTTGCAAAGGTGCTGTAGAACAAAAGGCTGAGCATTTAAACAATTCATAAAAAGGCTGCTCACCTGTGTGAGTCTGCACTCTTGTTTCTGTGTGTGTGTGTGTGTGTGTGTGTTAGTCCTATGCTACCCAGATGTGTGCAGGGCGATGTTACAGTGATCCTCAGAGTGTGGTTATTGCCTCAGATTGGGCAGGGCCCTGTAGGTAGATCATTTGGGCGTGGTCATTTTAAAAGTAGCTCCCAAGCTGAAAAAGTGTGGGCACCCCTGATCTAAACTATGACGGGAAACCTCTTTCCACCTCGTTATCGTGTCTCGTTATCGTGTCTCGTTATCGTGTCTCGTTATCGTGTCTCGTTATCGTGTCTCGTTATCGTCTAATCAAGTCCTTTCCTTTAGTTCCTCATCGCCTATCCTCCCTGGTTTCCTATCCCCTCTCTCACTGTTCATGTTGACGCCTTCCAGGTGTTTCTGTAAATATGCATGCTTTCACAAAGCTCATGTAGCAGCTGACATGTTGTTGTTGTGTGGATGTTATCTGTGGAGGTGAATGCTAACAGACTGTTTAGAGGAGCGATGCAAACGGAGGATACATGATGAGAGTGATTTCTAAAGGCTCCACAATGGAGTCATTACTCAGAGGAACTTTCTCATTATCTTGCACAGCATCTGGCTTTAGACAACAGGCCGTGATTGTGCATGAGTATGAAGCAGCGAGAGAGAATACAATGCAGAATCAGAAGTGACTAGTATTTCTATGTGTAGTCCGAGCAGAATGGATTACTCTGGTTCAAAAACACACAATATTGAATCCAGTAATCAATCAGCTTTTGTCTGAAGATGCACACATTGTCCATTCCTTTCAAATTGGCGTCTAAACTTCTGGACAAGCCGCTCATTCTCGCCTTTTGAGCACGGTGAGGTTTACCTTCATTAGGAATCAGAACACTACGGTAAACATGTGCAAATTGTACAAGATAGAAAATGTATGTTACCATATTTATAAAGGGGTGGGTTAGTATAAATAAGATGCTGTATCGCACACTTTGAAGGGTTCGGCTGCTGATGGTGACCTTCGTATTAATGACTCCTCCTCCTCTTCCCTGTCTAACCGAACATCTGGAGTTCACCTTTTGAATAGATCTGAAGTGTTCCAGAAGAGTTATGTCTACACCTTGTACTAATGTAGAGCCCCTCAGTGTAACAAGGGTTAGGGTCCTGATGGGGATCTGTGTGTGAGGGCAGGGTGATGCCATGCTGCACGATTTAGGGCGATGTTGTCTTTCAATCAGCAGATGAAACGCTGAGTCAGCACTGGCGTCCACACACTCATAGCTCCTGTGAGTGTGTGGTACAGACGACAGCTTTATTTCTCTCCTGTGAGTGTGTGGTACAGACGACAGCTTTATTTCTCTCCTGTGAGTTTGGGGTACAGACGACAGCTTCATGTGTGATTGGATTTGGCCAGAAAAAAGCAGCCTTATTTTTGTCTGACTTGTTACTTATTATCTTGGTGTGTCCATACATGTACTTGTAGTTTTTTACCCGCAGTATAAGTAAATCAAAACCATGATACATGCCATATGGAGTGATTTCAAGAGGCCCTTTCCCTTTGTGTTGTATAGCTTTTAGTGCATGTAAATGGTCTGCAAACGCTATAATCTCTGTTATCCCTACAGAAGGAGTGTCTCTGAAAATAAAAAAAGTGAGATGTAAACGGCATGAGGCAAACACTGCAACATGCATCTCAAACTATATGCAGAAGTAGCTTTTCGGGGGTCTTAAGGGTTATTATAAAACACTTTATTGTGTAATTTTTTCGTGCAAAAGGCAGAAATGTGTCTTTGGTTTGCAGACGTTTTTTAAAACCCTTAAAATGCCGATGAAACGAACCCCCGCCTTACGACTTACTCTGAAATGAAATGATAAAATATTTGCAATTGCAGGTGATTTAAATTCCAACGTTTATAGGTAATGAATATAAAGGAAAATAAAAAATACACTTGTTGAATTCTCACCAGAGTTTACGGCGCACTAAAGCACGCAGATGTCAAACCGCTAATATGGAAAATCTGGAAGTCCTAAACAAACGTTTGCAGGAATAAAAGTGAAGCTCTTAAATCTCACGGAGGACAATGGAGCCACAAAGTCAAACCCCAGCGCAGAGAAGTCTCTCTGACACGCTGCCAAACCAAACAAAGCCTCACAATGCAACACAGGTCTTGCATCACACTAATTATGTGATTTCTAGCAGCATGTTTTATGGCGGTAACACCCACACCGAGAGAAATGTGATTAAAACACATCACTAAACGCTCTCAGAGGAAACTATGGAAGCAGTTCTCGCTCCGCTTCACGAACCTTTCTGTCTTTATGAGGCAATTATCACCTGAAGAGGACGACTAATAATGATTAGCAGTGTTTACTCTCCGACAGCAACAACGCTTCACTGCAGCGCACGATGGGAAGAAATGTGCCTATTATTTAAATATCACAATAATATAAAGAGAGAGACATGCATCCTTTCTTTCATAAGCAGAGCAACGTGTCAAGAAACTATTCAAACCACTTGTTGGTGAGCTGCAGACAGAGAATATCAAATCATGATGTCCTTTTTATTGAACTCCTCAAACTGTGAAACTCCAACTGTTGTGTTTCTCCCAAATACTGTTGATTAGGATAATTCGTTTTTACAAATGAGCTTTTCAAAGACAGCCAAACTAAAGCAATCACGACGCAGACACATCAGCTGCACTTTGCATAAGGGATGCCTTCATGTGTTATTGAGCAGGACTTAACATTCAGAGAGTTGAGGCTCTGCAGCTACTCAACACACATCCTATTATATAAAGTGTGTTCATGTGGAGGTCAGAGGAGAAGAGGACGTCAGATTTAGATTAAAGCTTCATGAATCACCATCCAGTTAGACGTGACGCTATCATGAAAGGAACCACACCCACTGTGATGGTATCAGCATACTGTAGCCACAGAAGGACAGGGTCATCATGTCATTTAAGAAATAAGGAGGACTTCATCTTCATCATTCACCCTGCGTTTCATTTTGGCTTCATCACACCCTCAATATACTAAGATAAGATCACTAAAAAAGGTCAAAGACTATTTGCATGACTAAGTATGACTGTACGTTGAATAAAATGAGAAGACTTTAAAACTGATATCTTTAAAAAGTCTCTTTACACTTTCTCTGCTTTCTGTGCAGTGTGTTCAGCCTCATATCTCACACTCTGGATGTCAGATCCTTCTCTCCTTCACTCCTTCACTCCTTCACTCCTTCACTCTCTCAATCTGACGCCTCTCAGTCTGCAGACTCTGCATCTGCTGCACACACTGCAGCGCCTTTTCTTTAAAACATGCCGTAAAAAAATCCCTGTCTCGCTCACACTTACATCGGGCAATTATTTAAAGAAAGGAGTTTGTTTTTGGAGGATAATTATAGAGAAAGGTACCAGCGTTTCAGCGTTTATTAAGAGCATGTGATGTGGGGATTATACTGTACTCTGGTAGAAGTAGAAGTACTGACTAAACTTCTTCACTCAAGTCAAAGTAAAGAGGCTTTGAAATGTACTTCAGTAAAAAGTACCCATAACTAGCAGCTGTTTTAAAGAGTACCTGACCTCCCTTTATATTAATAGAACAATAATGTCATTGTTAGCTAATGAATGTTTCCATGCTGAACAACGGCAACATGACAACGTTTTCATTGGTCCCTCTTCTTTAGAGAAGACCAGGAAATGATGGATACACGGATCGTGTTCAAATCAATAGGCACGCAATGACTCTAAAGAATAATGATCACGCCACCAAACACACATTCAAACTAAAGGAACCAGCCTGTTTGGGAAATGTGAGAAGTAGAAAGTAAAGGTATTTGAGTTCAACATGTAAGAAGTAGAAAGTACAGGTATTTGTGTTCAACATGTGAGAAGTAGAAAGTACAGGTATTTGTGTTCAACATGTAAGAAGTAGAAAGTACAGGTATTTGTGTTCAACATGTAAGAAGTAGAAAGTACAGGTATTTGGGTTCAACATGTAAGAAGTAGAAAGTACAGGTATTTGTGTTCAACATGTAAGAAGTAGAAAGTACAGGTATTTGAGTTCAACATGTAAGAAGTAGAAAGTACAGGTATTTGTGTTCAACATGTAAGAAGTAGAAAGTACAGGTATTTGGGTTCAACATGTAAGAAGTAGAAAGTACAGGTATTTGTGTTCAACATGTAAGAAGTAGAAAGTACAGGTATTTGAGTTCAACATGTAAGAAGTAGAAAGTACAGGTATTTGTGTTCAAAATGTAAGAAGTAGAAAGTACAGGTATTTGTGTTCAACATGTAAGAAGTAGAAAGTACAGGTATTTGAGTTCAACATGTAAGAAGTAGAAAGTACAGGTATTTGAGTTCAACATGTAAGAAGTAGAAAGTACAGGTATTTGTGTTCAACATGTAAGAAGTAGAAAGTACAGGTATTTGAGTTCAACATGTAAGAAGTAGAAAGTACAGGTATTTGAGTTCAACATGTGAGAAGTAGAAAGTACAGGTATTTGTGTTCAACATGTAAGAAGTAGAAAGTACAGGTGTTTGTGTTCAACATGTAAGAAGTAGAAAGTACAGGTATTTGTGTTCAAAATGTAAGAAGTAGAAAGTACAGGTATTTGTGTTCAACATGTAAGAAGTAGAAAGTACAGGTATTTGTGTTCAACATGTAAGAAGTAGAAAGTACAGGTATTTGTGTTCAACATGTAAGAAGTAGAAAGTACAGGTATTTGTGTTCAACATGTAAGAAGTAGAAAGTACAGGTATTTGTGTTCAACATGTAAGAAGTAGAAAGTACAGGTATTAGGGTTCAACATGTGAGAAGTAGAAAGTACAGGTATTTGTGTTCAACATGTGAGAAGTAGAAAGTACAGGTATTTGTGTTCAACATGTGAGAAGTAGAAAGTACAGGTATTTGTGTTCAACATGTAAGAAGTAGAAAGTACAGGTATTTGTGTTCAACATGTAAGAAGTAGAAAGTACAGGTATTTGAGTTCAACATGTAAGAAGTAGAAAGTACAGGTATTTGTGTTCAACATGTGAGAAGTAGAAAGTACAGGTATTTGGGTTCAACATGTAAGAAGTAGAAAGTACAGGTATTTGTGTTCAACATGTAAGAAGTAGAAAGTACAGGTATTTGGGTTCAACATGTAAGAAGTAGAAAGTACAGGTATTTGTGTTCAACATGTAAGAAGTAGAAAGTACAGGTATTTGGGTTCAACATGTAAGAAGTAGAAAGTACAGGTATTTGTGTTCAACATGTAAAAATAAAAAGTCGTCAGAAAAATAAGTATTGGAGTAAAGTACTGATACCAGAAAAATGTACTTAAGTACAGTATTGAAGTATTTGTACTTCACTACTCCCCACCTCTGACCTCTATGGATCTCTCTATAACCCCTGCAGCATTCCAGGGTATCACGCAACACGTTGCCCTCTACTCGTGCAACTCATAAATATTGAGCTGCATTGTGTAGACACATCTCAATGAGCCTCAAGTGTCCTCATGTCACCAGATATTCTGTCCATTTCTCCCTCACAATAACCCAGAGTGACATCAGGAGGATTCATCACTTCTTTGTCTTCTACACTAAAGATGGATGATTGAGGCTGGAGGGGTTTCTCTTCTTCTTGTTAGAACAATAGAGGAGAGAGTGATGGCTGTAAAGTGATCCGAGTTGTTTAGTGATGGATGGAGGGAGGAAACTTACAGAAATCTGAGACAAGACGTCGAATTCCTGCAGACGACCGGCCACAGCGTCCACCCCGGGCAACGGAGCTAACACACACACACACACACACACCACACACACACACACACACACACACACCACACACACACACACACACACACACACACACACACACACACACACACACACACACACACACACACACAACACACACACACACACACACACACACACACACACACACACACACACACACACACACACACACACACACACACACACACACACACACACACACACACACACACACACACACACACACACACACACACACACACACACACACACACACACACACACACACACACACACACACACACACACACACAGTTGGGATACCTTTGTTATCATGTGACTCTCATGTTGGAAGAGGACATTCAGGATTTTCACAACATTATTTCAAAGAAGTGTTGTCTTCTCACCTGAGATGTCGGGCACGGCCTGCTCGGAGCTGATTGGCCGACACTCTTCAGATCTGCCGTCTGATAGGCTGTCACCCTGCAACCTGCACACAACACACAGCGGGGAATCAGACACAACACTGCAATGCATGCTGGGAAAACCAATGATAACGAACAGATAGGGGATGAGACAAAGAGGAAGTGTTATACATGTCATTTAAAAAAACGTTTTAGGGCACTAAGATCTTCATCGCAGCTTCCCCCATTCATAAAAACACAGTTTAAAAGAGTTTTTAGTATATCATATCTGTTTAAATCTTATATCAGATATAAAACAAACAAGGGCATCTCTGTCACTCTGAGAGGATGAGACAAAGAGGAAGAGTTTCCTGAGTTTATCATGTCTGTCATTTCTGCAAAGAAACTATGAAGAAAGGTGAGTTTTAGGGCACGCATTCCTTCATCATAGCTTCTCCCATTCATAACAATACATTTCAAATAGAGTGGCGAAGTCCCTCCCTTTCCGGTGGACCTCCATCGGACCTTATTTCGGAAAAATGATGCATTGAAGTCAATGGAGAGAGAAAGATTATCTTTGGATCCCGTTTGAATTGTGCCACGAATTACACATATGATGTTTGTCAATTTCAAAGATAATTTTGCAAGTCAAAAAAATAAAAATGTGTCGTAAAACTGTGAAGTAACACTTTGTTTTGTGTGAAACCGCTCAATGAACTCCATCTCCCGTCTCGCACCACACACCCAGACGGCCGTCACGTTGGCACATTTCACTTCTTTCTTTCAGAATGAGGCGGAAAGTATTAAAAGAGGTGAAAATCACTCCAAGTCTGGGCATGTTGAGAGCTGTGCATACACACAAGGGGAGTTAGTCGGTTCCTAAGAGCCAGCATGCGGGACCGGGACTCTGGGATTTGTAGTCTTTCTAGTTGCATATTTTTCATAGTCTTATATTTCAACAGTTTTACGACAAACTGTGACTTTTTTGACATGGAAATTATTTTTTAAATTGACAAACATCATATGTGTAATTCATGGCACAATTCAAACGGGATCGAAAGATAATCTTTCTCTCCTCATTGACTTCAATACATAATTTTTCCGAAATAAGGTCCCATGGGGCGGAAGTAGATGGGCGTGACTTCGCCTCTCTATAGCTTTGAGCATGTTGAGGTAAAAGTAATGCATTCACAGATATATCTGGTGCATAGATATACACAGACACCAGAACTAAAGAGACGTCTTCACCTGAAATCAATAGCTCACTGTTCTTTAACAGGATGCAACCACAGCCTGTTCCCCGATGATATCTGTTTAAATCTTATGTCAGATAAAAGAAATACAAGGGAGTCTCTGTCAGTTAGTAGGGGATGAGACAAAGAGGAAGTGTTTCCTGAGTTTATCATGTCATTTCTGCAAATAAACGATGAAGAAGGTGAGTTTCAGGGCACAAAGATCTTCATCGCAGCTGCACACGTGGTGCATGGATTCAAACTAAAACACATCTCCTTTGTTTTAGAACTAAAAAACATCCTCTCTCAGGTACTGTGCTTCATCGTGATGCGTTCAAAGCCCCCTATGGCTGGTTTTTCTCAGCGTTATCTGTTTGGCCCGACCAGGAAGCGGGTCTGAGAGATGCAGCCGGAGTTAAAGGAATAAAAGAGTTCAGTTTCCAGATAGGAAAGTTTACTACACACACACACACACACACACACCACACACACACACACACACACACACACACACACACACACACACACACACACACACACACACACACACACACACACACACACACACACACACACACACACACACACACACACACACACACACACACACACACACACACACACACACACACACACAACCACACACACACACACACACACACACACACACACACACACACACACACACACACACACACACACACACACACACACACACACACACACACACACACACACACACACACACACACACACACACACACACACACACACACACACACACACACACTCATTCACACACACTCCTACACACACTCATTCACACACTCATTCACACACTCCTACACACACACTCCTACACACACACTCCTACACACACACTCCTTCACACACACTCAAAGGATCAAAATACTTCTCAGTTGTTTTGCAGGACATTGAAAGTGTCTCTGATCCTGATATTGTTTGGTGTGAGTGGATTGAGTGAGTGTGGAACTCACACAGGAGTTGTGGGTAAATGAATAAGCGTGGTGGAGTTGTCGCCTTCACACTGCGGCGCTGAGAGGAAGCATCACCTCGCAGGAAGGTGTGAACATGTTGCAATAATGCACAGGATGCTAAACACCAGCGAGCCTTATGATACGGGATCAAACACAGAAACAAACGAGGCTCATTGTGAGTTAGGGGTTAGGAGAAATCTGCAGACAGAAAAGTGACAAATATTCTCCTGAATGTGGACTTTACAGGGTTTTACTTACACTAGTCTGAAAGAAGACATGTTAAGGAAGCCAGTGCAAGATAAATAATGTTCTCCTGTAGTGTCTCGTCTGGTTTGTAGTGACGTCTGTACAGTAGAGTGTCTGCAGGTGTGAAACACTTCCACATGTTAAAGGTGAGCAAAGCTGCAGGTAATCCCATCAAGAAAAGTGGTTTTAAAACGGCTACTTGATGCTAGCCGTGAACTTTTCCCTGTCAATACAATCTACTGATGAAAACATAGCATGGTGAGGGGAATCGTTTTTCTATCCAATTAAACCAGAAAAAGGTTCTAACGTTACTAAGCCCAGAGGAAGGCCGATACGTTGTGAGTCAAAGGAAGGATGAGTATGAAGTTATACAAATCATACGTTAAGAGGCACGAGATATCTTCAGAGAGAAACGTCTACTAAAATCCTTTTAGCAGCCTCTCTTAAGGTTTCCCTTTAAGGTAAACATGAGAGACAAGTTTATCAAAAGATTAAGACACGTTTAAAGTTACAGATAAACAACAGTTCTCTAAACCAGAGGTGTGTTTAGTCTCTTGTCCATGAAAGGGTGTTCTGACGTTTCCATCATTCTCTCCACTTTTCAAGATGCAGCATCGAGGTCCTGTTAGCAGCCTGACCTGTGCGTGTGTGTGTGTGTGTGTGTGTGTGTGTGTGTGTGTGTGTGTGGTGCGCCTGTGTGTGTGTGTGTGTGGTGCACCTGTGTGTGTGTGTGTGTGTGTGTGTGTGTGTGTGTGTGTGTGTGTGTGTGTGCGTGTGTGTGGTGCGCCTGTGTGTGTGTGTGCGTGTGTGTGGTGCGCCTGTGTGTGTGCGTGTGTGTGTGTGTGTGTGTGTGTGTGTGTGTGGTGCGCCTGTGTGTGTGCGTGTGTGTAGAGACATGAATGTGTGTGTGTAATCTTTATAATTTTGTATCTTAAAATGTAACAAATGCACATGTCCCCTCCGTGGGAGGAGTACATGTATTCAGGCTGAGAGAGGAGCAGGGGAACAGATGTCTGACATTTCAAGGAATCATGTTAGACAGAAAAAGGGCTGAAGCTGCTCTGAGATAATCCAGAGGGATAAAGTATTCGCTTGAAACCATCTGATAGCTGCTGCAGCTCTGAAAACATCCCACAGCTGATGGAGGCTGAAGGAAAGCTGATAGGAAACACAGCGCTGGCGTCTCAGTGAAAAGATACTCATTTATCACATGCTGGCATCAGGTGGGAGGTTCTGCACACACACACACACACACACACACACACACACACACACACACACACACACACCACACACACACACACACACACACACACACACACACACACACACACACACACACCACACACACACACACACACACACACACACACACACAACACACCCACACACACACACACACACACACACACACACACACACACACACACACACACACACACACACACACACACACACACACACACACACACACACACACACACACACACACACACACACACACACACACACACACACACACACACACACACACACACACACACACACACACACACACACACACACACACGAGAATGGAGACAATTATCAGAGGAGATAAACGTGAATAAAGTCCTATCAGTCTTAAAGCTTAGGGCACGTTAGATTTAGGACTTTTTTTGACATCATTGGAGATGAAATTTAAGATCAACTTGACAGAAAACTGAAATAAAATGTAGCTGAAACATTTATTTGAATTCATATCATATTAGGGTTTCCACATCTTAAAGGAACCATATTTAGATTGCTTTAAATGTCACTTGGAAAGCAACAGAAATTGAAGGAAAAACATCAAACACTTTGTACAGAGAGAGTTTTGAGAAACGCTTGGAGAATCTAAATGTTTCTTGCCATTTTTAAACTCCACAGGAAGTGTGGCGTGACCTCTAGATGAGTTCAAGGTATGAGAAAATACTTTAAAAAGAAGAAACTTTTACCGTAGTATAAACTGAAGTCATATCATTTCAGGGGTCTTAAAACTAGGCAGGTTAGTTTTAGGACTTTTGTGGATTAAAGTGTAAAAACATCACAGGCTTTGTACAGAGAGAGTTTGGAGAAAACGCCTTGAGAATTGACCTTTTTCTTGCAAGCCAATCAGAGCAGACTGGGTTTTATTTTTGAGATGAGAGCTCTAAGAGAGAGGCGCTAAAACAGAGCATCTCAGACAGAGGGAGAATTCAGGTGTGTCAAACAGACAGAAGGACCATTAATGCAAACATGTTCAATTACAGACCCAGAGTAGAAGGATGCACCTAAAAATAAGCGTTATGTGTCCCTTTAGCTCCAGGAAAAACGTGACACACTCTCTCTGAAGGTAAGAATAGGGGAAGCATTTACCTGGCGCACTCTCTCTCTGAAGGTAAGGGGAAGCATTTACCTGGCGCACTTTCTCTCTGAAGGTAAGAATAGGGGAAGCATTTACCTGGCGCACTCTCTCTCTGAAGGTAAGGGGAAGCATTTACCTGGCGCACTCTCTCTGAAGGTAAGAATAGGGGAAGCATTTACCTGGCGCACTCTCTCTGAAGGTAAGGGGAAGCATTTACCTGGCGCACTTTCTCTCTGAAGGTAAGGGGAAGCATTTACCTGGCGCACTTTCTCTCTGAAGGTAAGAATAGGGGAAGCATTTACCTGGCGCACTCTCTCTCTGAAGGTAAGAATAGGGGAAGCATTTACCTGGCGCACTCTCTCTGAAGGTAAGGGGAAGCATTTGCCTGGCGCACTCTCTCTGAAGGTAAGGGGAAGCATTTACCTGGCGCACTTTCTCTCTGAAGGTAAGGGGAAGCATTTACCTGGCGCACTTTCTCTCTGAAGGTAAGGGGAAGCATTTACCTGGCGCACTCTCTCTCTGAAGGTAAGGGGAAGCATTTACCTGGCGCACTCTCTCTCTGAAGGTAAGGGGAAGCATTTACCTGGCGCACTTTCTCTCTAAAGGTAAGGGGAAGCATTTACCTGGCGCACTCTCTCTCTGAAGGTAAGAATAGGGGAAGCATTTACCTGGCGCACTCTCTCTCTGAAGGTAAGAATAGGGGAAGCATTTACCTGGCGCACTCTCTCTGAAGGTAAGGGGAAGCATTTACCTGGCGCACTCTCTCTGAAGGTAAGGGGAAGCATTTACCTGGCGCACTTTCTCTCTGGAGGTAAGGGGAAGCATTTACCTGGCGCACTCTCTCTCTGAAGGTAATAATAGGGGAAGCATTTACCTGGCGCACTCTCTCTCTGAAGGTAAGAATAGGGGAAGCATTTACCTGGCGCACTCTCTCTCTGAAGGTAATAATAGGGGAAGCATTTACCTGGCGCACTCTCTCTCTGAAGGTAAGAATAGGGGAAGCATTTACCTGGCGCACTCTCTCTGAAGGTAAGGGGAAGCATTTACCTGGCGCACTCTCTCTGAAGGTAAGGGGAAGCATTTACCTGGCGCACTTTCTCTCTGAAGGTAAGAATAGGGGAAGCATTTACCTGGCGCACTCTCTCTCTGAAGGTAAGGGGAAGCATTTACCTGGCGTACTCTCTCTCTGAAGGTAAGGGGAAGCATTTACCTGACGCACTCTCTCTCTGAAGGTAAGGGGAAGCATTTACCTGGCGCACCTGGAGCAGATGTTCAGCGTGACTCTGGCCTGAGGCTCCGTCTGGTACGAGCTGCGACCCTGACTGAACTTACTGCCAGACGAGAGGCCTGTCACGCCCTCCATCCTGAGGTCATCTAGGTCCTCTGAGAGGAAGAGAGGAGGAAGAGGAGAGTCATTAATCACACTGCGGTCTCTCTGCTGTCGATACGACGCTCAGAGCCAAGAGGAGCACTTCACAGCAAATAAACATCCACACACACACACACTGAACACACACACACTGAACACACACACACACACACACATTTGTTGAAGGAGAGTCGATGACAATAGGAAGGGCGAGACACGGGACAGAACAACTATCAGCGAGGGAGAATCAGACGGGGAGATGGAAAAATACTTTCTTCTGATCTCTCCCTGTGTCCTCTACACACACACACACACACACACACACACGTCAACATCTGCTCACTCACAGATTCCTCCGACTCTCTAAAGAAATCCACATGTATCAGACACGCCACCATTGTTCCTCTAACCTCTCGTTCCCACTGTTTGCAGACAGTTACACGTCAACACACACACTGACACACACATACACACACTGACACACACATACACACACTGACACACACACACTGATAACAGGTGCACTTTCCCTCATGTTAAATAAACTCTCCTCCCTCTCGTTGCAAAACACGTCTGCTTTATCTCAAAAGGTTTGGCGTTTGAAACGTAAGACTAAACAGGATCATCCGCCAAATGTCAAATGTTCAGACACTGCAGTGCATGATGGGAAAAGAAAGCATGAATCAGGAGTCTGGCGTTAAATAGAACTGAATCATTTGAAGCGTCCTCAGGAGATGAAACATGCTGCTGTAGTTTTCCATGTTGTGAGAAATAAACCTCTTGTTTTGGTTTTTTAAACACATGTTGAGTCACGCACAGAGCGAGCGGTCAAAACGCTCGGATCTGTGCCAAGGTCGCCTGCAGGACACACACACACACACACACACACACACACACACACACACACACACACACACACACACACACACACACACACACACACACACACACACACACACACACACACACACACACACACACACACACACACACACACACACACACACACACACACACACACACACACACACACACACACACACACACACACACACACACACACACACACACACACACACACACACACACACACACACACACACACACACACACACACACACACACACACACACACACACACACACACACACACACACACTTGTGGCTTAGAGTGAATTTAAATGTGATTTATATTAGTGAAAATGCGTCTAAAAAATGACATTTAAATATTTTGGGAGAAAAGATATTTACTGATTTATTTAGATATAAATAACTTTGCCAACGTTTGGTTTTTCCAGTAGGATGAAGTTATCTTCTTCTGTATTTATGTTTGTTTAATTTGTATTGTGAGGTTAACATATGTGGCTTAGAGTGAATTAAAATGTGATTTCTATGAGTTAAAATGCGTCAAAAAATACAAAAATTAACATTTAAATAATTTGGGATATTCTGATTTATTTAAATATACATAAACTGTGTCAACGTCTGGTTTATCTGGTTTATAAAGTAGTATTTTTCTGTATTTATATCTGTTTAATTGGTGTCTGTATGTCCGTGCCATCTTGTGAAGAATGTATTAAAAAGTTGGTCAGAAAAAAAAAAAAAAATCAGATTTATTTCTGTATCTTTTGTTCCAGCTGGCCTCGTTCAATTAGCAAAGTAATTAAATGAATAGAGGTCAACACTTTGGTGTATAAATACAACCTTTCTCTACATTATGCATGTAGTATCTATCACTAAATACTGTTGGCAAAGGAACTACATATCTATGTGAAATCAGGAAGACCTTGAACACAGTCTGGAGGTGTTTGTTTCCTCAGTCCCGTCCCTCACACATCGTCAGTGTTTGGAGGACAGATAGATTACAGTAAACCCCTTCAGGAGAGAATATTAAATGTCCCATTCATCACAGGATACACACACTGTGGAAATGTACAGTTCGTGCGAATATCCTGCAAACTGCTTCATACAATCCTCCGCTAATTATCCCGTCTTTTTGGCGACGGACTAATGCATGATGCCAGATTCTCTCCGGGTCAAAAGTACAAGTCATGACTCGACATTTCTGCAGCTTGCATGAAACAGCAGAGGAATCATTCTGACCGTGAAGCAGGTCCAGCAGTCAGATCACACTCTGAGCTTCAGAGAAATGCATCCCAAAGATAAAACAGATCACACTGAGTCTGAATAAAAAGACTCGGAAGAATATTTAGTTCCACTTCTGCAACTAATCCTGCTTTTGGCCACATTAGAGAAAAGAGGACAAATATAACAGCTGGATTTATCATGTTTTTGTGGATAAAGGAGCAATTATCTGCAAACTACTACCTCATGTCCTGCCGCTGCTCACCGTCAATAGTTTACATCTTCTTACCTCTCCAAGTACAGGCTTTAAGGCAATACTTCACCCACAAAATGAGCATTTCAATCATATGAACTCACCCCTTGCTACCTTGAATTCCTTAAGAAACCTTTAGCTATGTCCACAGATTCAAAAACGTGCTATTAAATAAACGTTATCTCGCTTGCACACATCTGAGACTACGTGTTAGTGTTTGCTTTGAGGTTACAGTCATGTGTTTGTGAAGTAGTGAGCATGTGACTTATTCTGCATGAGTTGTATGACAGTTTGTTAATGTTTTCATAAAGTTCTACTTCAATTCATCAAGACTTTTCTCGTTTTTCTGATTACTTAATCACCGTGGAGGCTTGCAGAAATGTAAGGTAACACAGGGTGACTGATTGATATCCTAATGATCATTTAATGGGTTAAGTTTTCCATTGTAGACGCATGTATACAAGCTGTTACTCTCATTGAATCACACTGCTGCTGTCAACAGGTCTGAATACAATACGGCTGCAGAAATTGTTTATTTATCCCAAAAATCAGATTTGTGTCGCCTTATCTAGCGTTATCTAAAAAAAACTAACTTTTTAACCACGTTGAGTCGCACAGTGTATTCTCTCACACAATACCTCCATGATAAGTTTACAGAGCGTCTCCCTGAGTCTCCGTCTAGACACAACAAGCATCCGTCCACACTCGCCCGTTTGTCACATTTCAATTCAGCCGTGCATGAGATCCCATGAGACGATAAATAAGGTGCACAAGGGGGGGAAATGGAAACTATGTGAGCGATGCAATCCCAACAAAAGGCCGGAGCGAGAAGGAATTCAGTCAGAAAACCTCTCCGTGTAATTCCATGTTGTTTAGACAGACTGGCTCTCCGGGTCCTAATTAGTGAGCTGCTTTCACAAATAACTTAATATACACCTTGGCCTTATGACTCGCTGACAGATGCATGCAGAGTGGAAACATTGAACGCACCACCGTGGAGACGACGGACACGCATGCAACGAAACGGAGGAAATCACTCAGGAACGAGCTGTGAGGAGACGTGCATGTAGTTTCCATTACAGGTCTAGTTTCAGACGAGTGGAAAGAAAACACATGCAGGAGTTTATTTCACTAACTTTGTCTGTTTAGGTGTGCAGATCTCTCCTAAAGTTAGCACTAAGTAATTAGCATTGTTTTGTACAACATGTCAGCATTTTAATATCCATATCTGTAAAGCCAGATTTCTCTCCTCTTATTCGGTTCTATATTCTGAAGCTTTTTACACACTCATCTATACACACATTATGTTCCAGCGAACGACCGAAAACAGGCAAAAAAGACAATATAATAACAGTTAATCCAACAGTCAATCAGTAGAGCATTTATCGGAGACATTTCTATAACCTAAGGTCATATTTGAAGTGAAATAGATCTCTGGTTGCAGTGTCTTCAAGTTACATGAGATCTGGATTGTCTGTTGGACAGAAGAAGACATTTAAAAAGTCCAATTTCTTGTACTTTTTCTGACATTTTCAACACCAAACATTTCGTAAATGTCTCAGTTTATGAAACTACAACAACCCCAAAGCCTGCAGATTAGTTATATCACATTTCACATCTAGAAACATGCAGGGAAGGACTTTGTATGGCAGTATCTTCTGATGTCTAGAGATATACAAAGAGACATCCCTCTGGATTCGACTGGCTTTATCCATTGCTGAAAATACATGGAAAACAGCTGAGATATGAAAACATAAAGCCTGAATTGCATATTTAAACATACGTTCTCAGAAAACTTGCAATACAAAGATTATTTATATAAATATCAGTAATCTTTGTAGGAAGTTTCATGGTGATATCTATAAGTTTAAATATTTACCCTATTCACCTGTAACGTCTCTACTTGGCACATAACTGTAGTGACACACACACACACACACACACACACACACCACACACACACACACACACACACACACACACACACACACACACACACACACACACACACACACACACACACACACACACACCACACACACACACACACACCACACACACACACGCACACACACACACACACACACACACACACACACACACACACACACACACACACACACACACACACACACACACACACACACACACACACACACACACACCATTTGTTTCACATTAGCTCAGTCGGTTAGTCGTCACACTTTGATGTGCGGCGCGGCTCAGACACATTTTGTTTGGCTTTGTAATAAAAACAATATTCCAGATTACATTTCAGAATTATGTCTCGACTTTCAATCGCACCCCGACCCCCCCTCTGATCAGAGTCAGATGGAGAGAGTCTTATCACTGCTTTTAACTCTCTGACCGCAACCATCACACATACACACTATAACGACACTGAGCGTGTGTGTGTGTGTGTGTGTGTGTGTGTGTGTGTGTGTGTGTGTGTGTGTGTGTGTGTGTGTGTGTGTGGGAAATATGAAACAGAAATGTTATTAATGGCTTAATATTGAGCTGTAGGAGATCATTAGAGCAGAACATGTAATGCATAGTGAATACACAGAAGCAGCAGCTGATCATAGCGGACTTCTTTAGCCAAAAAAAACGTATTCAAATCACTTATAATATAATAATGACACATGCCTGCACAAACACAGATGATGACAGAAGAGC